GCCCTCCGGTCCCCAGCTTGGCCGCTTTATAACACAATTCGGAGGTGAGTGCCTTGAACGTATTTCAGTGGCGCTGGGGACGTTGGTAAGAGGGACCATAATGACATGTTGGCAAGTTGGGCTTGGACAAGTTATTTAATAACACGCTCCAGTATCTGGGACACCCGGCTGGCTCAGATGGTAGAGCACATGGCTCTTGATCTCAGGGTCATGAGTTTGAGCCCTACATTGTGGGTAGAGATTATTTAATAAACAAGTTGGAAAAGGAGAGAAGGAGAAGGAGAAGGAGAAGGAGAAGGAGAAGAAGAAGAAGAAGAAGAAGAAGAAGAAGAAGAGGAAGAAGAAGAAGAGGAAGGAGGAGGAGGGGGAGGGGAGGAGGGGGAGGGGAGGAGAGGGAGGAGAAGAAGGAGAAGAAGAAAAAGAAAATGAAGCATCTTCCAGTTTCTTTTTCCATAGAATAGAAGGCATGTCACCTACTAGAAATTGTTTTGCAAAGGGTAAATGAGATAATGAACACAACATGCCTGTCACAATGTTTGGCTCCTAGAAACCACCTTCATGGGGGCGCCTGAGTAACTCAGTCCGTTAAGCGTCAGACTCTTGATTTCAGCTCAGGTCATGATCTCACAGTTGTGGGATCTCTCTGTTGCTCCCCTGCTCGCGCACGCACGTGCTCTCTCTTTCTCAAAAAAAGCACCTTCATGGTGGCTCCAAACACGCAGATACAGGGAAATAAGCTAATTCTTGTGCCGCAGATCATTTTGGCTTTGCTCCCACAGGGCAACCTAAAGTAGCCTCTCTGTACTATGACTGTTTCATTTTCATCGTTATTGTCTCCTCTTGCTGGAATGTGCTTTTATGAGGGCAGGACTGATGCTTATGTTATTCATCACGATTTCCCCGACGTCTAGAACTGTGTCTGGAATATGCATGTAAGAGGCACTCAGTATGTGCTTGTTGAATGAATCTGTGAAGGTTCTATTCTTCACCCTCCAAATACCAGCTCCACGAAAGCTCTCCACACCTTCATGAGTGAGTCACTCCTTGCTCTCAGTTCCCACGCACGCCGTGATGTGAGTCCAGTCATCAGCATACACTTTGAGAGTCTGTTTACTTCTTCATTTCCCCCATGAGGCTCTGAGCCATGGTGAGGGCACCAAGTGCCCACCATAGTGCCTGGCATGTAAGAGACTTTCAACACTCATTGGGCACCTAGAACTGGTCAGTACTGATCTGTGCGATAACAGAAGTTCACAAAGATCATGATAAAGGCCATTGAGATGGGGGCCATTTGCCCTGAGCCTTAAGCCTGACGCATCTGACATGGGTCTGCCTTTCAGGGACATGAGCATGGGCAAAAATATGTATTCTTCTCTCTTCATTTTTATGTTTCTTAGTGACTTTCACTTTAGATGAATACTCAGGCTACCTTGATATTCCACAAGATAGTTGAAAAGAAATGTCGATTTTTAGAGAGAATCCCAGTATAGACTACTTACCCTGTGGTCTGGGTCAGGGTCTTCCTGTCCCTATGACATCCCTTGTACCTTCTTTGCCCATTCCCGCTGTTTGCCCCGCCATAGCTAGTTTCTCGCCATCTCCCATCCAGAGGCACACCAGTTTCAACCGCCATTACCTGTCAGCTTCAGTGTGTCCTCCGTGTCAGACTGGAGCTCCTAAATTCCAGCGTTAGGGAGCTTGAGGAGTTGCAATCTTGTCATTTCCTTGCTTGGAAACCATCTGCATTTCCCCATTACCTATGCAATCATTCTTTTCAGACCTCATAATATCATCCCCAACCTACTCTACCAAAAGCCGGTTTCCAAGCTGCTTTTCTAGAATCCTGTGTGATTCGTGTGTGCTTTGAAACATCCTGCCTCCAGGCATGCCTTCCATCCCACTTCGGTGGAATCAAATCTTATCCTCTCTTTCAAGTCCTAGGTCAAATGCCACCTCCTGTAGGGGCGCCTGGGTGGCTCAGTCGGTTGAGTGTCTGACTTCCGAGTTTGAGCCCCGTGTTGGGCTACGTGCAGACAGCTCAGAGCCTGGAGCTGCTTTCGCATTCTGTGTCTCCCTCTCTGTCTCTGCTCCTCCCCCACTTGTGCTCTGTCTCTCTGTCTCTCTCTCTCAAAAATAAATAACCATTAAATTTTTTTTAAAAAACAAATGCCACTTCCTCTAAAAAGACCCTCTTGCTCATCTTTTCTGCCCTTGAATTTGCATAAAATGTCCCTTCTTAAATTTATACTTCAGCATTTTTTAATTCATTTACATATTTTGGATCTCCTTAAAAAAAATTGCTAGTTCCCTGTTAGAATCTCCTAAGGCTCTAGCACCATGTTTGAATAGAGGGATTCACTACTTTTTTATACATTAAAAAAAATTTTTTTTTGCAGGGGAGGGGTAGAAGTGAAAGAATCCCAAGCAAGTTATGCGCTGTCAGCGCCGAGCCCAACTTCAGCAGGGCTCAGTCTCACAAATCGTGAGATCATGACTTGAGCTGAAACCAAGAGTCTGACCTGACCCCGGTGCTCCTACATTCAGGATTTTGGCAGCAATTCACCTGTGCCTCACCTGGCCTTCTGGTTAGGAAAGCATCTATTTAGCTTTGTATGGTTAGGCGTGTGTAAGGGCACACATGTGTGCATGTCTGTGTGTATTTAATTGAAAGATGGATGTTGAATTTTATCTAATACCTTTAAGCAAATAAGAATGAGGTAAGCAAATGAGGTATGCAGTTTGTAAACATTGACTAGTTAATATGTCATTAAACTAATAATTTACCCAACCTAGAACCATGCTTGATGTCTTGGAACAGACCAGATGTGAGCATGGGGTACATTCTCCATTAACGTGGCTTCTGTTTTGTTAGTAGTTTATTGAAAATGGATACTGATTAAAAGTGAAATTGGTCTGTGGTTTTCTTTTGTGCGTGTGTCCTTTTTGGGGAAGGAAATGTTTTGCCTTCACACATAGGAATCCGGGGGAAAACAATGAAGATAAACAACTCAAGCTGGAAATGAGTAAAGAATGTGATTAGGCAGGGTGGCTGGGTGGCTCAGTCATTTGAGCATCTGACTTCGGCTCAGGTCATGATCTCATGATCCATGAGTTCAAGCCCTGAATAGGGCTCGCTGCTGCAGTGTAGAGCCTGGTTTGGATCCTCTGTCATCTTCTCTCTCTCGACCCCTTCCCCTCTCGCAGAAATAAATAACCATTAAAAAAAAAAAAAAAGGAATGTAATCAGGCAATTCTCAAAAGAAGAATTACCAATGGCTAAGAAATTTATGAGTACACTCTTGTCATCACTGGTAATTTGAAAACTCAAACTGTTAACCCCTGAAGGCTATCTTTCTTTTACCTGCGTCCCTGACATCATATAAAAAAGGAAATCTGTCTCTGCCTATTCAGTTAGTGATGACAATTCCTTTTGTCCTCTTTTTTTCTTTTTTTAAATATTTTTATTTATTTCTAGGAGAGAGAGAGACAGCGTGAGCAGGGGAGGGTCAGAGAGAGAGGGAGTCACAGACTGAAACAGGCTCCAGGCTCTGAGCTGGCAG